TCTCTCTCTCTCTCTCTCTCCCCCCCAACTCCTTTTCTTCCTCCCTCTTTCTATGTAGGACCACTATCCACTATCCAAATCTGCATTTAAAAAAGAAACAGTTTTATTGAAATAATGTGTAACTTAAGAAGCACAACATGCTAATTTGATAAATTTATAGGCTGCAATGATTGCCATTGTAGCAATAACTAGCACCTCTATCACATCATCATCATTTCTTTTTAGTAGTTGGAATAATTAAGTTCTAATCTATTGGCAAGTTTGATGATTATAATACAATATTGTTGTTTATATTCACTATGCTGTACATTAGATCTCTAGGGCGTATTTACTACTTGTTGCATATTTGTACCCTTAAACAACATCTGTCCTATCCCCTCCGTCCTCCCAAAAAAAGAAAAGGAAAAGCACCGCTTCACTATTAGAGACCTTACCCCCTGTTTAGATCATCTGAGCCGTCAGGCAATGGCCCTGGATTCTGAAGTCTAGTTTTACATATTTGCTGCCAGAAAAGAGCAAATAAATAAAAATTTGGCACTTGTAATCAAATAAATGCCTATGTAATTCAAAACAAAATTATAATGGAAAAGGTAGAGGCTTCATGGAGCCCGTGTCTGACTCACAGAAAGAAAAAGCAAACTCAGAGAGTAAAAGAAAAGAAATGAACTGTAGCCATATAAGGCACAGAATCTATTCCTTAGTACCAACCTAATAGGCTATCATGAATAAATCTGATAGAAATTAGAGATAAAATCCTAGGCTTTCTTAGCAAAGGGAAAAGCTAGAACTACTGAGTGTAAGTAAAATCTAGAAGTGTCTCCCTCCTGTTACCTTTGCATTGGCCCATGTTGGAGTGGTCGCTCTCTGGCCCCCTGGGAACCTGCGACACACGCTGCCAGTCAGCATTATCACTTGAACTTTGAATCATACCACACACATTTTCTAATTCAAAATTACACGAGTCCATAAAGCTCAAGGATGAGGCTAAAAAGACATAAAACAATTATTGACACTCAGGCAACATGATAATCTAAGTCATAAAAATTGAGTTTATCTAAGAAGTACCAGGAGTGCCAGGATGGCAATAAATGATTCTGGGTGATGGTGGCTTGAAAATCTCTTGATTTCTGCAGAGCCAAGACATTGATCCACCCTGTAGATCTGAATAAGCTGCCTGCCCCAAGTCTTTTTATTAAATTATCTCATTATAGACACTTGAGTCTACATNGGTCAGTTACACTTACCCACATCAGACTCATGTGAGGATTTAATTAAGATACATAACTCATGAGGACTTTTTCAGGCAATTTGAATATAATGTGCTATTTTCTCATAAATAAGTTTATTGCTCTTGTAGCTATGCAAAAATCCCACATGAAGAGCAATCAATAAATAAAAATGGTTTTTAAGATGAGAATTCGCTGATTTCACGCATATGAAATATCAGTACTTAATCCTACATTGTGGGAATGATAAAATTTCAAATAAAAGAATGGGGAGATCTCGTCCAAGCGATCCCTTACCTGCACTCGGCTTTGCCATCTTTGGCAGTGCAGATGCCATCATTCTCACATTTGAAGTTTGTGCAAGGGTCCTTGATGGCAGAGGTTGGGTTTGGCATGGCAGAGGTTGGGCTTGGCTCACTTTGTGTAGAATTAAGGTGGGATATGTCTAAAGACGACAAGGGGAGAGCATGGATGGAAATCAGTGTTTACTTTAACAAGTATTTGATCTTTAAGTTTCAAAATGCTCGGGTTCCAGGTTTGTAAAAAACTCAAGTAATCTTTTTTTTTTTTATTCTAACTTTTCAATTACGGTTGACATACAATATTATATTAGTCTCAGGCATACAACATAGTGATTAGACATTTAGATACCTGATTACGAAGTGATCACCCCAATAAGTCTAGTACTCATCTGACACCATATAGTTACTACAATATTATTGACAATATTCCCCATGATTATTTTGTAACTTCCAATTGATACTTCTTCATCTCTTCACCTTTTTAACCCATCCCCCTAAACCCCCTCCTATCTGGCAACCATCAGTTTGTTCTCTGTGTGTGAGTTTGTTCCTGTATTGTGTGTTTATTTTTTGCTTTCCACATATAAGTGAAATCATATCGTATTTGTCTTTTTCTGTCTGACTTATTTCACTTAGCATAATAAATTCAGGTCATCTTGAAGCATAGTACAGCAACACTTAGAGGCAGTGACATAATAAATAAGTTGAAATCTAGATGCGGAGGGAGGCTGGGCCAGCCTGTGGGGGTACAATTGAACCAGGTGCTTGCCTGGGCCTGGGCTTGTCTGAACTCTAAGGGGCCCAAACTTCTGTTACTGTTAACCTAACAATAAAAGATCTTGCTTTCAAAGTGAGAGGCAACAAGCATTTGAGATCAAAAGGGTAGCTATTTGGGAAGCATGGATTCAGGCAGAAGCCCAAAGAATGTTCCAAATAGAAAACAAAGACAAGGGGTATTTATGAGAAAGGGTAGGGGGGAAATTCTATCAATAGAAGGAAGGCATTTCTATTGTGCAGATCACATAACATAGTGATGTTCATTCTAAAGAAAAATTTTAATTTCAGTCCAGTAGTCATAATATCTACGTTCTTGCTATCTTTGCAAACAGTTCTTTGGACACAAGGTTGTGTTAGGCCTAGTCCAGAGGTTATTTTGCCCCGTTTTAACATTCCAAAGGTTTGAGGCATAAGATGCACAAGACAGTTCTTCTGGCAGGGCAGTTCCAATTTCATTTTAAAGTGGCTCCTTCTATTTTTTTTTTTTTAATATTACCAATCCTCAAGGGGAAAACAAGGAAACTAAAGTGCAGATTGCAAGGCAGCTGATGGGCTTGCCCAAAGTCATGGGTCTCTTGCTTGGTGGAGTAGTAGGTGGATATTTAATGCTAGACACCAGGCCCCTTGACACCCAGGGTTCTGTTTTTTGCAGGGTTTTTTGTTGCTTCTCATCCAATGAGAGAATTGATGAACATGTGACTTTTTCTCTGCTACATCAAATGTTTTCTCCCTTGACAAAAGCTTTCCTGAATAATTTTTCTAAGAACTATCATTTAGATTTACTTTAATTGACTCTGAAATCAAAATTTCATGAGTTTTAATTGCACCACTTTTCATCACAAACAAGGTTCTGATTTACTGAGATGTGAGTGGGTCTTTAATAGTAAATGAGTTAAAACCCTACCAAGTAAAACATGGAAACCACCAATATTCCTGGAAAATGTATTTTTTGGCTGCCACGGCTAAGAAACTTTAAAAGACAGTAGATTGTTATTACTGCCAAGCTGTGTGTGTGTGTGTGTGTGTGTGTGTGTGTGTGTGTGTGTGTGTGTGTATTTGAAAGTGACAATAAAGACAATCCATTTTCAGTTTAATTTCATGTGCTTGTGTGGTATTTTTATTTCTGAAATTCTAGACTATAATTCGAAGGTATGGCAGCTATGCTTTAACTTATTTCTAAAGAAGTTTTCCACTATTACTCCATGTAGTAGTAACTAAATTCTTTATCTGGGAACCCTCACTGTTTCCATTTAAATTATTTTTATATTGTTCATGAGTCACACCAACAAAAAAATACTATTCAGGCCCATTTCCTCTCACATCTCTATCTAATACACCTAAAAACTGGAACCCATAAGAACACAGTAAATAATCAATGGCTACGGCAATGACTACAACAACAAAATAGCTTATATAAAACTATGTTTATTGACATACCTTCCACTGTCAGCAGGATATAAACATCATCCCCTTTTATAAAATCTCTGCTTCTCAGTCTCTTATGGGTTATAAAGGCACTGACTCCGTAACCCTTACTTCTTCTAAACTCAGTTCCATTAGGGAAAAAAGCCACGTCTCCTACCTTGGAAGGCTTGTCCCAGTGATAGTTTCCATTATCTGAAAATGCAATTTATATTAATGGATTG